TTTGAAGTTTAGGCATGTAATATTTTCACAGCACATCATTCTTTCCTAGTCAGCCTATGAACCTTTCAGCCCACCCTCGGCTAATATATCTTTAAACTTCAGTTAATATATCGTTATATACCGTATATTTTCTGTATTACTATTAAAACTGCTTGATATATTCTTCACTAAATTATACATGTAATAATTCTAGTCTGTCAGTAAAACTTGGCACTGGCGTTATGGCAATCACATTTTTTTCTAACACATAATAACATTGCCACAAAATGCTAAAGCTACAAAAATGTCTAGTCATATCGTACTGGTCAGAGCTGCGTGGGTTGGCTCGAACTCTGTTAAATCATAACAATGACGTACTGTCTTTGTTAAGTTTTAATACAAGACTGAAATACGCGCGTAAACGATCAGCACTTTTGCAGAAATGAAGAATCGAAGATGGCTTCCAATTTCAGATTCATTAACATGTTGTGTTTTCCGTAAGGAGATAATGGATAACTGGAACATCATGTTGACAGCCATACTCCTTGATTCATTTTCCCTTTTGTTTTTTTCCTTTCTAATAAATTAAAAAGTAAACATGAAAAAAAATCGTTCATTCAGCCTGTGATGCAGGGCTGTGGTCCCTACTAATTTTCTGATGACCAATTATAATGTCTAGATAACAAGCAAGGCATCAATATATATATAACATTATGTTCATTTTTTATATCTAAGTGACCCCTGAGTTATTCAAGATTAATCCTTGGCATGACGATTAACTACATCTGGTAGCAAGTCCTCTTATCTTGAGACTGGAGGTTTAATGGAGCATGGAACTACCTCTTAACTGTTGTTGTCCCCAGGTTTAATCTGACCAGGCTGTTAGGCTGCCAGTTACGGACAAATTTTGAACTCTCAACCAAAACATTACGAAAGTATAAAAATACATATTTATAGTAAAATTGCCAATAATAAATTATTATATAAAATAATTACCAATATTTCTTATTTATAGGAAAATTACCAACAATATATTTTATCTCTAGATGAAGGCATAAAATTGTTGTAAATATTGAGATTTCGTCATTAAATAACTAACAGAGCTTGATATGCCGCTAAACAACATCAGCCAAACCAAAGCTGGAGTTAGAGGGTTACAGAGTAAGAGTCACACTTTATGCGGTTATATGGGGAAGATAACGGCTAACCCGAGACTTGAACAAATTAGGATGAATAGATGATGACTAAAGAATGTCGATAGCTTGAAACATATTTCTTCGAACTTGGAAAAATATCTGACGGAATTTCCTCATTCTCTAAGAAGGAACATTCGTAATTAGGAAAACTTGATCAGTAAAATTAATCAACACAAATTGTCTGTTGTATTTTATATATATATATATATATATATATATATATGTGTGTGTGTGTGTGTGTGTGTGTGTGTGTGTGTGTGTGTGCGCCTGTGTGTGTTTGTGTATATGTTTGTATGTGTGTGTGCGCACTAGCTTTTGTCTCTTTGAGAATTTTGTGAGAATTTTTCGCTTTAGATCAGCTCCTAGCCAGAAGAACAAACATCAGAATTATTTGGGGAACGGCTTCTTTTGTTGCTGAAAAAAACTACTAAAGTACACATACCCCCAATACACGCACAGGAATGGCAATTCAGTAAGTAAAGTTAAGGTTATCCTATGCATTCTTATTTTTATATATCATGGGATACACATTCATGAAAGTAATTTCCAATATGCATTCAATACATATATCTTATTTGCATACGAGTAAAACCCATATGAAGTATACTATCTAATGTCCTAGTATTCTATCATATATATTTTTATGTATAGTCTTTTGCAAGATTTCACACTCCGCTGCCCATATCTTCACTTCAAATGTATCTACGTTATAACGAAGCTCAGATCAACATTAGATTTTAACGTTTATTCTAAAATTTAATTTTTGGCCTTTCAATAAAAACAAAATAAATAACAAAACGTATTTTTTTTTTCTCAGTTTCTTCTTTAAATAAATTCATAATTTTTTAAACTTAATATACATTAAATTTAAAATTAGTAATTTTTACTTTTATAGTGTAATTTAATATTAATTAGTTAGAATGAATTCTATTTTAGTTTGACCTTAACATTAAAGCACTAAATATTATAAACAAAGTTCGTTGTCAAGTCTATTGAATTCTCATATACCTGTATTTAGATTAGCCATACTAGCTCATGTAACAGCGTTTTCCTTAGCGAGGGGTGTTTGATAAAGTTTAGACTTTTGAAACCCTTATTCTACATTCAACACCATCATTTGATAAAATACCAGAAGTGTTGAAGCAAAACGGCTATTTTTGTAGTGATTTTATAACATATTTCTGTTATAATTTTCGAATAAAAGTGTTGAAGCAAAACGGCTATTTTTTGTAGTGATTTTATAACATATTTCTGTTATAATTTTCGAATAAATGATTATATATATATATATATATATATATATATATATATATATATATATAAGTAGATTTATTCGAAAATTATAACACAGCAAGATTCAACCTGTAAGTCGGATGTTTGCATGACACATGTATGTATGTTTGAATTGACAAATTTAGTTCTATACAACATTGGGTCAAACTTAACATGATGAATGTATCAGAATACCTTTCAGGAAATCCACAAGCTACCTGAACAGATTTTACAAAACAGGCCAGGCTATGTAAAGGATAACTTAGTTTGCCAAGTCTGATATAAATATTGCAAGGTTGAATCTTGCTACTTTCAAGAGCCATCGCTGCGCTCATGGGAACTAAAAAGATGGATCAAATTTGTCAGCGAAGTTCATACTCGTTGAACGATTTGGCAAGTATGTATGAATCAAGAACCTTAAAAAGGCATTTGAAACCGAAAAGACATACAGAAAATGATTGCGACAGTTGGAGATTTGGCACCAATCTTTCTTAGACATATTCTAGGTATATGTTGGAAGATGCATGTTAGTGATATATAGAAGCGACTATCCTGGTCTTGTCTCAGGTGGAATGGTCATTTACAAAGAATGGAAAATGGTGGAATCTCTAAACAGCGCCTATATGGTCTTTTTATCGTATTGAGGCGTGAAACGAACATCCATAATTCTGCTGTAATTGTTAGACCCACATCTATCAATCTATCTATCTATCTATATATATGAATGCATATACGATTAATATAACAGAGTATTTCTATTCTATGATGGCCTCATTAACTACAAGGAATATCTTGTTGATAGAACTTTGTCAAATTAAATTCATTTTTACGGTGGGAATAACTTGACAAGAAGAGTGTTAGGGAAATCTACAAAGATAGCTCCAATGTCTCACCACTCAAACAATTCCCAAACAGCCTGAACAGAATTTACAAAACAAGACATGTCCTGTACAGAACAACTCCGCGTGCTGCGTCTGCAATATAAATCGAAAGTCACTTACTGCCTTCAAGAGCCATTGCCGATCTCACAAGAACTAAATCTATAGATCAGAATTGTCGGCAATGGTCATTCTCGTCAAAGGTGCCGACAGCCATTATATATATATATATATATATATATATATATATATAATTAAGTAATTCATCGAGTCTGAAGAAACCTCAACAGAATGCAGAAAAGCACTGGACGTTTCGTCCTATAATTGGGACTCATCCGCAGTGCGCATCCTTTACCGTGAATTGAAATCCGGACAGTTAGGTTATCAAGCAAACGTCATACCAACTTTTCCAACGGGCCTCGGCGACAAATAGGTTGCAAATCAGACTCAACATAACGCCGCTCGCTCACATATTCCGTGGTCGAACTCAACTGAGATTCTCTCTAACCATAGGACTGTGCCCCCAGGAGCCACGTCTACTATCACCTAGCAGCCACTCAAACCATTGCTTGAACCGGTTTATAATACTCAAGTTTGAGCGGCGCTATATTGTGTCTGATTTGCAATCTCTTCGTCACCGAGGCCCATTAGAACAGCTGGTATGATATTTGCTTGAAGATTTTACTGTCGTGGTTTCAATTCTCGGTAGTGGATGCGCACTGCTGATGAGTGCCAAATATAGAACGAAACGGCCGTCCAGTGCTTTCTGCATTCTGTTGAGGTTTCTTTCAGACTCGATGAATTACTTAATTATAATTATCAAATCCTCCTAATAATTTCTATCATTTTTTTTTTATATATATATATATATATATATATAGAGAGAGAGAGAGATAAACCTAGTGAGCCAGACAAACCTACCTAGGTTTCACCTAAACGGATCGTCTTTCTTTTTTTAAAACTTTTTTCCCTCGAGATTGATTTGATTATTAGCAAATCAAAATTTCGAGGGTTTTTCGAAACGAGTCTAATTATCTCTCTATCTCTCTCTCTCTCTCTCTCTCTTATATATATATATATATATATATATATATATGCATGTGTGTATGTGCGGCAAACAATGAAGATCTGTAGGAGTAATCAGAGAGTAAACATGAAAAATAATGAGACAAAAATGACAGTTAATGCTTTTTAGTGGTATTCTGTAGCGGTAAAATCAACCAACGCTTATGTGTCAGTCGCGTGCGTTTACTATTAGTGCACCTCATACACCCATCCACGCAGGCTCCACCCGCGCCTTGAGCACGGGGCAAGGAGGAAAAAGGATTAGGTTCGCATTGACGTTTGGGTTTCGCGATGGAATCGTAAATTGGTGTGCCTGGTTGTGTTGATGGGAGAAAGGTACCAAAAGAGATTATACTGCGTGATGGAACGAAATGAGTGAGTTTGAAATTCAGGTAAGCGTGCTTTTTTTTTTACCCTGTTGCTTCATCACATAAATCTGAAACCAGATGCACACCCATTTTCGATTTTTTTCTTTTTTTTTTTTTTTACAAACATTCTCTTTAACTATTCATTTATTTTGTTTTTTTTTGTTTTTGTTTTTTTTGAGCGTTGCGTTCGCCAGGATTGGAATGGTAAATTCATTTGAAACTGTACATTATATCGCTTGCAG